GGAATGCACTAAATATGTAAAAAAAACCCTTATATGTATGTGGGCATGACTATCCCTTGTTCTCAAATTATAATATAATAAATATTTGCTTAAAAAAAAATGATTAACAAATATTATGCTATACAAAATCAAAATAAAAGAATATGTCTGATGATTGGCCGAGACAATTCAATGTAAGTGGACTTTAGTTGATTGTATTGGATGGGGTGTTTGCCTTTTTATTATTATTATCTTTTGACGTGATCTCTTGAATTCAAGCCATGAGACTCGTGAGGTTGTAAAAGTGTATTTATTTTATGCTACAATAATTTTTTGTTATAGAAATGGTTGTTACCTGCATTAAGAGGACAAGCGGTCCGGTGTATATAATGAATTAAGTTGTGCCCTCCCCCTATCCTGAAGTGTTTGTCTCCCATTGTCTATATATTTGAGAATTAAATGATATATAAAATTTTATATAAATTTAAATTAATTAATTTTAGAGTTGTGATGTATTCTATATTTATATTATTTTATTATTTTTTTAAAAAATAATATAAAAGTATTATATTTTTATATTAGTGTTTTTTTAATTTATATTTTTAAAGTACAAATTGAGAGATATAATTAATATATTTTTTTATAATTAATTTGCATGAAAGTGGTAAATGTTGATTTTGAATTAATGAGTTAATATTCACATGTCAATAATGTAAAAATAAATGTCAATTTTTATAGTTTTTTATGTAAATTATTATAAAAAAATACATTTGTTATACCTTTAACATATACTTTTAGAATACAGGTTAAATAAGTTCTTTATATTATAATAATATGTATGAAAATATATATATTCTTATCAAAAAAAATTTATAATTTATGCAAAATAAGTAATTAATGATTGATTTTTATTAATATGAAAGCAAATCTTCAATATTCTTAACTACCGAAATTCACTTCATCCATCTTTTTCTTTTTCAACTCCCTAAATGCCTAATTTTTAACATGCATCTTGCATTTTTAAAGTCAAGTTTATCTATAATTTTACATACTTAATTTTTCATAATATAGTAGATGGTCAAGTTCTTACAAAATTTGAAATTAAATTAAAATGAATAATTTTTAAATTAAAAAAAGACCAACCTATTAGGGTATCATATATTTTAAATTTCAATTATTATGATGTCATAAAAAAATTCAAGCTTAATTGCTTAAATTTTCAAGTACTAAAAATTTTTAATTTAGGACTTAAAAGTTATAATCTTTATAAGTTTAAGGACTTAATTATTAATTTAGCTTTATCAATTTCTATGTAATCTTTTTTTTAGTAGTGTGTACCATTTAAAAAAAAACTCTATAAATTTTCATGAAATTACTAAAAGACCGTAATTTTAATCAACCAAAAACGTCCATAAATCTCAAATAATTTACAAAAGTTAACACCACTCTTTAACTTTCTAGAGAAATAATAATTAAAAAAAAAACAGAAAAAAAGGAGAAAAAATGTTGACCCTACCCTCTTTGTTTTACTTTAGATATTGAAAGTAAAGAGTAAAAGATCTGTGTTGCATTTGACCGAAGTGGATCTTTTGTTAAGAAAGAATTGATCTTCTATCTACGTTAGATCGTATTTTACCATCGCTAGTGCTCGAATTTGCACCACGTATGGTTGCATTTGACTTGAGACCTTCTCAACCAAAA